CCGGGCTGGGGCGCCCGGCGGGGAAGCGGCGCGCGGCCGCGATGGCGGCGTGCGTGGGGAGCCGGACCCTGAGCAAGGACGACGTGAACTACCGGCTGCACTTCCGCATGATCAACGAGCAGCAGGTGGAGGACATCACGCTGGAGTTCTTCTACCGGCCGCACACCATCACCCTGCTCAGCTTCACCATCCTCAGCCTCATGGCCTTCGCCTTCACGAGGTGCGCGGGGCCCGGCGGCGCCGCGGGGGGGGCGCGCTCGCCGCGGGGGGGGGGGAGGCGCGGTCGGGTCCGGTCGGGTCCGGTTCGGTCCGGTTCGGTCCGGTCCGGTCGGGTCCGGTCGGGTCCGGTTCGGTCCGGTCCGCGTCTCGTTCCCCGAGCGCGCGTCCGTGAAGCGCCAGAGTAACGGCCGGGCGTGGGACGAGCCGAGGAAGGAGCGGGAGGAAAAGGAGAAGTGAGGGTAAAGCCGCAGGTCGCCCGAGCGGTCCCTGCTCGTGGCCACTGGGCGGGATCGGGGCTGCTGGGTCGCCCAGGTCCCCGGGACCCGCTTCCCTGTGCGGTGCTTCCGTTCCTCCAGGAGCATCGCCAGCTCTTTGTTGGATTTGTCTTGATTTCTTTCTGATTTCGGTGACTTCTAATTTAATTTTGTAGCCCTTCCTCCCCACTTGTCCCTCAGCTCCCCTTCGCTTTCTGTGTGTGAATGCACTGCCCGACTTCTCCTTTCCTCGCCACTTCTCCTCGCGCCCTGGAAGCTGCTCTGGCCCCTTAGGTTATTTTTTTCACCGCTATTTCAACCTCAACAGGAGTTTCCTAAATCCCCGTGGAGGTACCAGAAYGCCACCCCCATCGCCGCATCTGGGACCCTGCCTAGCCCATACGGTCTCCTTGAGGAGCCAAGTGGGAAGCATCCCTGGAAGACACCCYGGTCTGGTCTTCCTATTCCTCTGCTTACCCGGGTCTCCAGAGCCCGGAGTCCCTGTTTCCAGTCCCCATTTCCATTTCCTGGGCACGCAGTGATGTGACAAGTGAATTTTTTTTTCCCCTTTGCTTCCCCTAAGCAGTCAGCTTGCTTCYTAGCAAGTTCTCTGCTGATGAAATGAGGCACTTGCTTCAAGTAAGCTCCACAACAGGGAGCTTTGAGTTCCACAGCAGACCACAACAGGGAGTTTTTCTGTGATTTATTCCTACTGACTTGAAATGCATTTATTTCCAGGAGCTTTAGCACAGGCCTGCTAAAGGAAATTTAGCCAGGATTTGGGAATATGGGAAGCAGAATTTAGGGGAGATGCTGGAGAACTGAGCAAAGTGACACCCATCACAAAGGAAGCAGGAATAAACCTGTGAGGATGTAGGACTGTCTTCTTAAAATCAAATCCCTAGGTTATTAAAGTTGATTAAATGGAATGATCATGTATTTAGGTTTGTTTTGGGGAGATGCTTTGCCCCTCCCTTTTTCATTCAGCTTACCTCATTTTTGTTTATTTTTTTAGTAATGTTCTAGTGTGACATAGTGCTGTGGAGCAGGCAGGAGAGCAAGAGAGGGAGGGAAAAAATGGTAGGTGTTTGTGATGTCCTTTGCTTTTTATTGTCTTTCTCTGCAGAAACCACAGACTTGAAAAATTGGTGAAGTGGGTTTAAATTGAGAGAATTTTCTTCTGCCCTCCCACGCCAGCATCAGAAACTTCACGCTACATGAATGCTTTTATTTCCAAGTCAGCACCAAAGTTCCTAGGGCTCAGGGAGGAGATGACGTAGCACATTTTCCTGATTGTTTATTGACACTGTATCTTTCCCCTAACAGCTATTTTGTTTCATTTTTGTTTGCCTTGGTGCTCCCCAAAATAACTCTTCCAGGAAAATTCTGTAACTGTTATCCTAACTAGTGCACAGTAGTGAGGCTGTCACTCCCACCTCATTCTTAGCTGCTTCTGGTAAAAAGGTAAGATAGATATCTAGCTCTTTTGAAAAAGGCTATTCTGAAAATGAAAATATCTGCCAGTTACTTGGCTCATGGGGATGAGATTTTGAATATGAATGTCCTCTGTGAATAGAGGAAGAGGTTTGTAAAGGTTTTGCAGGACACACGGCATTAGTTTTGGAGGGTGGGAGCATGCCCAGCACGGCTGTCCTGAAGCCAAGCAGTGCTCAGAGACCTGATGTACAAAGATGAAGCCCTTCCAGCACAGCTGACGTTAGATTTAAGTGGTAAAATCATAGTCTCTTCCACTTCTGACTTGGCTGCACTGAATTAGACAGTAATGTGACTYCAATAACATGGTCACTTTTAAGATAATAGTAAAAAAAATCCCCACTTGATGGCACTTGTGATACCATGGGTGCTGGGCTCTGGGGTTTACAGCTGGCATGAGTGTCAGACTGTGCAGAACTGCTGCTGGAAAATGGCTGGTAGGTCCAGGCTGGAATAAAATGCTGTGTGAATCTCCAAGACTCTGCAGGAGAGAAACCTTTCACATTCAATTTACGTTTTCCTTGCATGCAATAGAATTGATACAGTGCTTAGTTGCTTCATAAAGGAGAAGGTCTTCTAAGGAGCTGCTATGCCTCAGTTCTGAGGGAAAGGGAAATAATTTGGCAAAGTGAGAGATATTTTTATGACTACAGCAATTACATACTGTGGGGCATATATATGTGGTCGCAGATTCTTTTCTGAACCACCCAGAAATGTGACAGGTGCTTTCCTGGGAAGAGCTTTATCCCTTCCTAGCCTAACTAGTGACATTTCCTAAAAACTGACTGCTAGTCAGAAGTTCTCTCTGTCTCCTTCTCTCCCACAGCTGTATATGTATATACATATATATGTATACACACAGTACCTGTCCGCAAAGGAAGATCTGTGTCAAGCATCCTGGGTTCTTAGGTCTCTCTTCAGGCTGTGATATAACAGTAGCACAACTAATACTGATAGTTTATTCTGAGCTTTGCCTTAATAATCTCAAAGCACTGCAGCATTTCCGCCCTCCCAGCACCCAGGCTTGCAGAGTTTCTGTCTAGGTCTTTCTCTCTTAGATAAAGGTGCTTTTGATGACGTTTCTGTAAACAATAAAATGGGAACATTTTTCACCTCGTTGTAATCACTGTTGAATTGTCACCGCCAAAGTGATACCTGTGGCTTGAATGTATAGATTATATTATGTTTAACTCCTCTGGTAAGAAAGGATATCCAGAAGTGCAGAAAAAAACTTCAGTGCAGTTAGTACCTGATTTGGTACAGAAGCGGTGTGCTTATTTCCTGTGCTTATTTCTATATAGCCTGTATTTAATTAATGTGCTATCTCAACAGACTTTTGACTTCATCCTCAAAATGATACCTTAACACTGTGGCATTGTCTGTCTCTTCAGGGATGATTCTGTCCCAGAGGATAATATTTGGAGGGGTATTCTCTCTGTGATTTTCTTCTTTTTAATCATCAGTGTTCTAGCTTTTCCCAATGGTGAGTAAGGTTCTTACTTGTAAATTTCTCTTTATTGTCACTATAGTTTTTTTTTTTTTTTTAAGAATTACTTTTAAGTGCATTTTTTTCTTTACTCTTTTGCATTCCTTTATTGTTATGGAACAGTCTAAAAATGAGTTGCAATGAAACCGAGTGGAGATATCTGTAAAAAGCAAGTTATTTATAGCTTGTCTGTATCTAACAAGAAAGTCGGGTCTTGAAAATCAGTGTTCCTATTGCAGGCTCACAGTTGAGGCTTAAATTTTGAAGGAATGATGCTGCCTAGTCCTTTCATAATGCTCTAAAGGAGTCTTCTTCAGTGTATTTTAAACAGGGCTGTTATCCTAGATACACTCTGAGGTGTAACTCCTTACGTAAATCACTGTACCAGAAGCCAGGGACGTGGTTGGGTTCAGAGCCTAAATCTAAATCACATCATTGCAGTAAAACTGCAGTTGCTCAGTGTAAGTTTATGTGGGGACATGGGAGGCAGGAAATGTAAAAATGTAAGCTTTTGTGATGCTTAATGCTGTAGAGGAAATGCTAGCTTCCCTGTTTTATTTCTTTCATTTTTAGTTATGGTAGTCAGCAATTAATATAATTTCTGAGTTTAACCTGTATTGAGATTGACGTTGTTCAGGATCAGATGGACATTAACCGTTAAACTTCATAAATTGGTAGTTCTCACAAAGTGCTCCCTGAAAAGCTGAATGTCAGAGACAGCAGAAGGAAGTTTATGCTTACAGGGATGAAAGAGCAATCCACAATGTGCTCTGAAAACATCAGCCACTTCTTGGTGCTAATGTATGATTCACGTTTAGAGGTTTCGTCTGCTTTCACCAGACTGCTATCTCCTGTTATTTGCATTCACTAAGAAGTGGGKTTTTTTTTACCTAATAAAGTCATTTTCTGGCTCTAAAATAAACAATGCTGATACTGGTAAGGAGTGTAGGTATCTTGCCTCTCGCTAGACACATGACATTCAATTTGGAAGCCGTATGAGTTTTAGATTTGCTAACTGGTCCTGGCCATCTGAGGGTTAAGCACCATGTTTGTTTGCTAATGCTCAGAAATTTGAATGTAAGGACTTAATTTGGAGCAAGCCAGGCTAGACTGAACTGTGGTCTGTGGAAACCAGAGGAGAGATCTTCTGGTGACACTTGGGATATGGTGTCCATCTGCAGCGTAAACACCACAGTGCTGTTCTGTAGACATCCCCCTAGAAATAATGGAACGTTTTGTCTATTTTGTCTACACCCTGGCAGTTGCTGACCCCCTCTTTCTCCTCCCAAATCTCTTTGCCACTTCTTTTTTTTTTTTTTTTTAAATATATACAAAAAGTGCCTAAAGCTTTGGGGTGTGTTGCAAAGTTTCATAAGGAACGGATCTGAAAGCTCCTCTTAGGCTGAAAGCTCCTCTTTTGAGATAAATCTAAAAGCTGATTCTGTCATTCTTGCTGACTGTTCTCTAATAGGTTTTTGTTTACTGTCCACAGGACCTTTTACTCGCCCGCACCCTGCATTATGGAGAATGGTTTTTGGTGAGTTTTCTGTTGTGTTTCTGGTTTGCTCAGTGCTTCTGCAGGATTGGTCACAGAGCCTAGGCTAGACTCTAAGTATATTGTCGGGGAAACAGGCATGGCGGATTTAAAAGCTGCTCTGTTCCTTTTTAAAAGGACTGTGAATACTTCTCTCTTCTACCACTTGATAAAGCTAAAAATAACTAGCCTCTTAAAGTAGCTGATTACTCATCTGTTGACATTGAGAGGATAGTTGTGATTAGATAGTACTCTTAAAGAATCCTGCTTCATGTGAAGTTTGGGAAAAGGTCCTGTTGCTACTTTGAGATTAYGGCAGCTGTAAGTTAAAAGGACCTGCTCAGTGCCGAGCAGTTCAGAGCTTTAAATCCCTGTGCTTTGGCAAAGAGACTGCACACAAAGGGAAGAGCAAGATTTTCCCCTGGGTGGTTGTGCTGCTTATGGCCTGGCTTTCTTGGGCATGGTGAAATCACAGAGCTGCTCAACAGACGAAAGGCTGGAGTAGCCACGTCTGCCTTGGCAGCTCCTGCCTCCAGCAGGAGCCTCGGATCTCTTCCCTGAAGTGATTTTAAGCTGCTCTGCAGAGGACAGTGTGTTTGTGTCTGTGTACCTGAGCAGAGCTATATGGCCACTCACAAATACAGTCTTGGTTATATCTTCTATTTCTATTTAAATTTCTATTTCTATTTAAAATTTCTATTATTAGACTTGCAGTCTAATAATAGGGAGGAGAGTTGAGCTGTGAACATGCCAGTGATATAAAAATGCACTCCCAGAAGGTAAATGAKGCTGCTGTAGTTCTGCTCCTGGGACACTTTTTTTACACTTCTAATCAGAAGAAAATCTGTATTCAAATTTGGGGTAGAGAGAGGGCATAGTCCCAAATACAACAGTGTTACAAAACTTAAATGGTCTGAAAAAATATCATAAATCATTTAATCTTTAAAACATCAAACAGCATTGTCTGTTTCGCAAAAGTACCTTGGGTATGATGGTCTGTTAGGTTATATGTGTAATTACTCTTCATTGCTCATAGAGCTCGGAATTGCCAGGTGGGATTGCTAAACTGATCATTGCATTGAAACCTGCCATACAGGSCTAGAGACCTGCATTAGTGAAGACTAACAGTATTTAATCAAGGSGACAGAGCCAGTGCAACTGTGGGGTCCTAATGTGCCTCTTACTGAGGAGCTTCCTGAGCCCTGTGCTGTGCTACTCCCATCTAACCTCTTCAGATGGGTTTCTGTTTGACTGGGTTCATGCCGTCAAGTATGTGTAACATCACAGGAAATAGGAGATATGCAAAGGGCTGAATGCTTCACTGCTGTGCTTCGAGATTGCCCCTCTGACTGGTCTCTAAGGGCTTTTTTTTTTTTTTTTTTTTTTAACATAGCTATTGTATGTAGGAAACCCGTTTGTGAAAACTTGGCAGAAGATACTGAGCTCCAGTTTGAAGGCAGCTTTGAGGGGCTCCACAGAGCTTTGTCGGTGAACATGTTTCTAAAACTGGGTCTTTTTGCAGGTCTCAGTGTGCTCTATTTTCTCTTCCTGGTGTTTGTGCTCTTCCTTAACTTTGAGCAAGTAAAAGCAGTAATGTACTGGCTGGACCCTAATCTCCGATATGCCACAAGGGAAGCAGATATTATGGTATGTATCCTTGGCACTGCACTGTGCATTTTGGCTACTTTGCATGTAATTTACGTGGGTGGGAATGGGTAAATCTGAATTTGCTTGCATGAGCAGGGCAAGCTGGTATCTGTCCTCACGAGAGTCAACAAGCCCTTTGTATCAACTGCTATTTCTTTCCSTTGAACTCAATGAGTGAGAGAAATGTTTGAGCTGGAGTTTTGAATTCCTTAATAGATATGAACCTGGATGTTGCAAATATATTTATCCTGGTAGTATCTAGATGATATGATAGGCGTCCCTCAGATCATTTTTTTTGACCTGCTGCAGCGCTGCCTTACGCGACCTTTGGTTTTCCCCTGTTCCTGTGGCCTTGGCATGTGCCTGGCACGCTGCCGAGGGGGTAGGAGGCCAGAGAGGGCAACCGCAGGCTCTGCTGCGCTGCAGCCGCCCGCCCGAGCAGCCAGCGCTGGAGCCGCCGGGCAGGCGGATTCCTGGGCTGTGATCTCCAGGGCCATGGGAAGCTGGCTTGCCTTCCCACCTCCCCGACAGCCTGCAAAGAGGTTTCTGTGCAGAAAACTCCCTTCAGGAAAAGGGGCTGTAGCTCAGGGGCCGAGCTGGTGGAGGGAGCTGTGGGAAGAGCACGTGAGGGGGGTCTGGATGCAGGCAGAACGGGGTGAGCCCTCGAGCCCCAGGCCGGGGATGGATGTTGCAGGAGCAGGCAGGGGTAGCGAGGCCTCCTTCACCAGAGTGCTGCCCTCCTCCTGAGCAGGTGCCGGCCGTGCTCGGGCCTGGGATCCGCTCCCGGCAGCCGCTGCCAGTTGCCTGCTATGGGGTCGGTGCCATTCACAGGCTCTTGCCTCAGGGGTGAGGAAATAGACTGGTCACCTCCTGCAAGAGGCTGTTTACAGCGTGTGGCAACTACCACACGGCACCTAATTATCAGTGGCTGCCAACTGTAGCCCCGTGGCACGTGAAGGAGAACGCAGATCTTTACGGTGCAGTTGGTCTGTGTCAGCGGATTGGCAGGGAGGGCCACTTGCCTGGAAAAACCTGGAAAAAGTATGAGCACCTGCCAGCACCAGCACTCCCTGCCCTGCAGGAGGTGTGTGGTGGGATGAGGGGAGCAGCCACTGCCGGGGCACACAGGGAGGTGGGGACAGGCTGGGAAGGTCAGGCCCTTCCTTCCACACAGGCCTCCAAGGACCTCAGGGGGTTAGTGCCCTAGGAGGAGCTGCCACGAGGAGGAGGAACCGGAGTCTRTAAGTTACTCACCTGGCTCTCCTGTCATTACAGTTAGGAATAGATTCAAGCTGGGGGGACTAGTGTTACTGCTGACACAGAACTGCACTGAAGTGTGTTCCCTGGCTGCAGCAGTCAGCAAAAACTTGACGTGTAACTTGACGTGTATCCTCACCGTCCTGCTAATGCTGCCAGTTTGAGTCGGAGTAGGCTCTTTGTGGGAGAAGGTGCCCAGCAGTGAAGGCTGTGGCTTGGTGTCTTGCATGGGGCTAGCACAGTGTTTGAGTGTAAAAGGAAGCTGAACACACTTCTGTGTGTGACTGGCAGAATTGCAGCTGGAAAGAAGTTATGGGAGAAAAATGCAGGTAGAAATAATAAAAGCAAGAGCTTCACAAAAGGAATTTGCTTTTAGAGCCACTTTACTGTGTCCCCTCGGTATATATTCACAGATAAAATGCTGCTGCTAGGAGCYTGCAGCTGACATTGTACAGTCAGTGCTTCCCATCCTTTTCTTTAGGGTATGAAGCACAGTGCACATAAGACTTTATGTGCACATAGGCCAYGGTGCCAAAGTGACTCCAGCTCAAAGCTTGCTGTGATTTCAACCAGAATCTTTCCTCTGTATATATGTATGAAGTAAAAGAAGCAGAAAGGTGAAAGACAGCTCTAGTGTATGTGGACTTGTCCCCTGTTGTGCAAGTGTTTCCCATCCCAAAGTGGCACGGGAGGTACAACAGATAGGTCTGGCAGCTTCAGACCTGTGGATATGTGCAGTARAGCTGCAGCCTAGATGTCCTTAAGACAAGTGAGTCACCTTCCAGTGAATGATTATCAGGGGTGCCACATGCAAGAGGCAGCACCAAGGGACACCTACAGCTTCCTAGTGGGACCCACTGTCTCCATAGAGAGTGTGGGAGAGGGGAGATTTGTCTGGGTGACTTCCTGCCTTCTTGGTGGGATCCTGGTAGGGAGCAGGATCTCTGCCTCCCTTTTTCACCTTGATCATGGTTCGTTTGTGCAGGAATAAGTTTTGGCCAGGAGAATCATAGAATGCCCAAGGTTGGAAAGGACCTCAGAGGTCATCGAGTCCAACCCCCCTGCACACGCAGGGTCACCTAGAGCACGTGGCACAGGGCTGCATCCAAGCGGGTTTTAAAGATCTCCAAAGAAGGAGACTCCACAACCTCTCTGGGCAGCCTGTTCCAGTGCTTTGTCACCCTCACAGTGAAGAAATGCTTCCTTAAGTTCCTGTGGAACTTCCGATGCTTCAGTTTGAAGCCATTTCCTCTAGTCCTATCGCTGGCCACCACTGAAAAGAGGCCGCCCCCCTCCTCCTCACTGCCTCCCTTGAGGTATTTATACACGCTGATCAGGTCCCCCCTCAGCCTCCTCTTCTCCAGGCTGAACAGACCCAGCTCTCTCAGCCTTTGCTCACAGGGCAGATGTTCCAGGCCCCTGATCATCCTGGTAGCCCTGCGCTGGACTCTCTCCAGCAGCTCCACATCCCTCTTGTACTGGGGAGCCCAGAACTGGACGCAGTACTCCAGATGTGGCCTCACCAGGGCTGAGTAGAGGAGGATGATCACTTCCCTCGACCTGCTGGAGACGCTTTTCTTAATGCAGCCCAGGATCCCTTTGGCCTTCTTGGCCACCAGGGCACACTGCTGCCTCATGGTCAACTTGTCGTCCACCATGACACCCAGGTCCCTCTCTGCGGGACTGCTCTCCAGCAGGTCCACGCCTAATCTGTACTGGTGTCCAGGGTTATTCCTCCCCAAGTGCAGGACCCTGCACTTGCCCCTGTTGAACCTCATGAGGTTTCTCGCCGCCCAGTCCTCCAGTCTGTCCAGGTCCCTCTGGATGGCAGCACAGCCCTCAGGGCTATCAGCTACTCCTCCCAGTTTGGTATCRTCAGCAAACTTGCTGAGGGAGCACTCCAGCCCTTCATCCAGGTCGTTAATGAATAAGTTGAACAGGACCGGACCGAGRACYGACCCCTGGGGGACACCACTAAGTACAGSCCTCCAGCTGGACTCCRCACCATTGACAACCACTCTCTGCACCCTGCCAYYGAGCCAATTCCTAATCCACCTCCCCGTCCACACATCTATCCCACACCTTCGGAGCTTGCCCAGGAGGATGCCGTGAGGGACAGTGTCAAAAGCCAGAATCCTTTCTAAATTGAACAGCACTGAGCAATGCTATGTTGTCACCTGCAGGTGGCAATGTGTGTTTTAGGAGGATGTCGAGCAGTTTTTTCATCAATTTGCTGTTGGGAATAATCTTGTTTAATGTGCGCCCAGTGACAAGACGAAACTCCACTTGATGCAGCCTCCAGATGGAATACAGATTTTTTTTTTTTTTTTAATTGGACAGTGCTTTCTAGCACTTGCTCTGTGATATGAAGAGAGAACATATTTCCTTTGATATCAATGACTAGAATATTAATTATCATTCTTAAGGACTCTGCCATTCCGGAACAGTTGCAGGATCATTTTGATTTTTACTTCAGCCTTGTGTCCAGACTTTCTAAATACAAATGTGGTCTGGGAAGTTGCTTTGAGAAAATTAAGACAAAAGGATGCTCAAATGATCACTGAGTGAAACAACACATACATGGCTCCGTTCTAGGCAGACTGATGGGGATTAGCCAGTGATGAGTGTATCTGACCACCAGACAGCAGGAAAATGAGGAAAGGTAGATATTTCAAATCTTACTCTCCATACATACACATACATGCACACAAGAGGCAAAGAACTATTTTCTAGAGTGTTATTATTTGCTTTTTTTAAAAATTGTTTTATTACTCCTCGTGCTCTTTAATCACATAAAATGTACTCCTCTRCATTCCAAGGTCTGTGTTATCTCCTTTGAAATTAGAGCTGTATTATGATGACACTTGATARTGCAGGTGTTCTTGTCAGAAGGAAAAGGAAGGGCAATAATACATATTTTAATGTCTTTCTAATTTCAAGCTTGTTGCACTACATAGAAAGAAGTTTCATTCTAATGCTTCTGAGGTTAGCTGTTCATTGAGGATTTCTTTTTTTCTTTGTCATTGACAGGAATATGCTGTGAACTGCCATGTTATCACCTGGGAGAGAATCCTCAGCCACTTCGATATTTTTGCTTTTGGGCATTTCTGGGGCTGGGCCATGAAGGCCTTGCTGATTCGCAGCTATGGGTTGTGCTGGACTATTAGYATCACCTGGGAGCTCACTGAGGTAGGCTGCCTGCTTTCTCCAGTGTATGACACTTTACTCCATCTCAGAGAAAGCCTGAACATTTCTAGAAGGTTGCCTGTGTAGTTCTCAAAACAGATTTATATTTTGAACTTATAAACCATATGCACAGTGAATGGTGCAGTTGCATTAGTGAAGAGCAGTAAGGTCAGGGTTTATGTAAATTGTGCAGATAATGGCTTACTGTACTTGAAGTAGGGTGAAAATCTAATTCAGTTCATTGGTGCCATCCATACTTGTCTTTTCCCTGTTGTTGTTACCCTGCTCAACGCTTGTTCTGTTTCAGGTTCTGACTAGTATTCCCTAATATATCCCAGTTCTTTCCCTTTACCACCGTGCAGTCCCTATGATCTCTGCCTGCCCTCAATACAACACTATTTCAGTACTTTGTGAAGTGGTACCTATGTGTGTGTACCATGCAGTGAAATGGAACAGGGGGAACCCTGTGGAAAACATGAGGAGAAATCTGTGTGGTAGGACAAAACACCACGCAGAGTGGTGTTRTGGGTCTCGAGACCTGAGTGCACAGCCACATTATTTTCTGTTAAAACACAAGAGCCCCAGATCTGAGCTAGCACACACGCAGTGTACATCCATCCCCTGCACCATGGTGTGGAGGACAACTTSTATTTGCTTATTTTTGTCAGTTGATTCTTGGCCMTTTAAAATCTTACTCCAGCTAAATGACTACAGATATTTAGTTTGGTTTAGTCAGTTGGCTTCACTCAGGCTGCTGGTCTTTATTGCTAAATCTATTGTTTGTGCTATTATACAACTTCCCCATTCAGAAAAAAAAAAAATCTAATACTAATCCTTTTTTGGGGCACAGCATATTCTAATATGTCAATTTTCTCCTACTAAGTGTGGAATAGTCACCTGAATTTAATCTTTAAAGTCTCATTTGCTGGAAAACTTTCTGACTTGAGGATGCTTGGTCCATCTGTCAAGGCATTTATAATTCAGAAATGATAAAGATATAGTTGTCTAAAATTGAACTGCTGGGTTTGAAAATACTGTTTCCACTAACTCCTTTTCAAAACATGTTTTTAACCTGTGTGATTCAAGGCTAGTCTTTTTCTTTTTTTCAGGCCATTACGAAATTATTCATTTAAAAATAGGTATTCCAAAAGTACCTATCCATAAAGCACAAGAGCTCTGCTAGTCATTGTACTTCTTTTTTCCTTCTGGAAAGCAAGTTTAAATCTGGGCATRTTTCACACGCACTCTTGTTGTTCAGTAGATCACTGCATGACCATCGTCTTCCATTTGACACCACATGGGTTGTCTAGTATTCCCTGTCGCTGAAAGGCAGATTACCAGAACACAATGTGTTGGGTAAGGTTCAACATATAGAAGGCTTATCACTGCTCAAATGTATTTTTTTTTAATGAATTAGTTGATTCAAGAGAGTCATTAGAAACCTGGAGAACTTATCAGGGCAATTACACAGGGATTTAGCCGGGCGTCTCCTGTTAACACTAATGGGTTTCAGCTGGCTCCTTGGTCGGAAATGGGACACTTGACTCGCGTTCCACAATATCAGATTAAAGTTGGGATCATGGAGACCCTGCTCTCTTGTTCTGAGAGCAGCCAGTGCCTTGGAGATGGTCTGGAAAACCCTTGTGCTCTGCTTTTTGCTCCGTTATTAGCTGTGCCCTGTGATATCGTTGTGAACTGCTGCAGACTGAGACTCATGGCCTGGTGTCCCTTTCACATTACATGTACTTAAAACCTTGAAAATCAGCTGGTTTGTTATACTTGTGCCTTTGCAAGGGTAGTGTCATTGCCACTATCAATCCCTGTAGTTTATTATAAATTGACCRTGATTTACTCCTAGTTGATACATTCTCTTTTTTCCTTTTCCTGCATTTGAAATTTTTGGCTCTTATAGCCATACATTTGCCAACAAAGGACTCTGTTGTAAAGCCCTGCTATTAACCTTTCACAGACACAAATCTATTTTTACATATATGTATGTCATCTAATGCTTGTGTGTATATGTATGTATACATATATGCATGTGTGTATATGTGCACATATATTCATACACACRTTAAATGACGTATGTTTATGGGAGATAAGAATATTATCTAGATTGCTGTGTGTTTTGTTATGCAGGTTCATGTGTGTTTTGATGGGGKCCTTCAAAATATACAGACCTCTCTATTTCCAGTACATCAGCTAAGTTTTTATATTCTGGTTTGGGGATTTTTTTTTCCCTTGTGGAATAGAAATGGATTCAGCTCCCTGTTTTCTCTGGGGTCCTAACTCTGGTCCCCTGAGCAGTCCTCCTCCTCCGCTCTGTCAAAAACAAGAACTCACCACTTTTCAAATACTTCTAATTGATTTGCTGATGCTTCATGGTGGTCTCGGCAAAGGTGAGCGTTAAGCTCAGAAAGCAACAGATTGCTTCAAAAACAAATGATTTGTGTACTCTCCAGAGGAAATCTTTAAGGGGCTGAATATGTGAAGCTGCATCCAGATGGTGGCAGATGTTGGTTTACTTCTGGCCTGATTTTCAGCATCTTTATGACAGTTAGTGCTGACGAGAGACCAAATAGGAAAGGAGAGCAGAGTGTCCTCTTAAGGCACTGAGGATCAAGGGTAGTAGCAGGGCTGGTGTTGTCTGAAATGCTGATGACTTTTAGTTACAAAATTCCCTTAAAATGGTGAATGAAAGAAAGTGTTGAAACATACATTAAACTATAACAAGTTTTAAGTCTTAAATTTAAGTGTGCTTTAGYATTGACAGTTGTTAAATTTACACACGTCCTGTTGCTGGCTTAGGAAACAAGCTTCATAAGACTAAATTGAAAGAGAGGAGAAAAAAAAGAGAGAAGCCCMAACCCCCCTCACTCCTCCCCAAACTGCAGCCTTTTGCTTGATGCGTTTGTGTGAACCTCGCATGTGTCCTCTGAGGTGCCAAAAGCTGCTCCAGAGCCTCGTGTGCTGCACAGCCCCAAAGGGAACAGGGAGCAGACAGAACCCCCTCGAGCCCTGCATGGTCCTGTCTGCAGTGTCTGAAGCCACTGGAGGGATTTCCAGCACACATCAGTGGTTGCTGCACAAGTCCATGAACTAATGATGTTTACTGAGAAGCTCATTTTTATATGTGTTCTTAAAAAGTAACTTTCTATGAATTTTACAGGAATGCTGTTCCTCACCCAGAATCTTTTTGCTGTATTCTGTAGCTCTTCTTCATGCATCTCCTGCCTAATTTTGCGGAATGCTGGTGGGATCAAGTCATTTTGGACATCCTGCTTTGCAACGGGGGTGGCATCTGGTTGGGCATGGTAGTTTGTCGTTTCTTGGAGATGAGGACCTATCACTGGGCGAGCTTCAAGTAGGTCTAAATTAAAGCTTGATACAGCATAATGCTTAATGTTGTAATTAAATTCCATGTCTTGGGAAACAGAGCTTGCTTTGCGTATGTAAAATGTATATGTTGTAGAAATAATATGTAATTTGCATTTGTTGATGGTGATATATACTTAGTGTAAATGTTAAATCCCATCTCAGTGATATTACTGGATAGCACATATTCCTAAATATGCTTCTTGTGTGTATATGTGTGTGTGTATATATACACACGTGTGTATAAAATTTTGCATTGTAATCTAAGTAACAAGCATTGATGCCAAATGAAAGCACACAGTAGTAGAGCTATTTGCATTTTAGTGAATTCCTTTCTACAGGTGAAACTTCTAAGCAGGCGGTGAAGCAGCCTGATATTAATGGTTGTCTCGTTATACGACACTTTGAACTCTCACCTTGGGTGTCAGCTTGAAGTGACATTAGTGTGGCAATCTGCCAGCACTCGCTGTCAGTGCAAAACGGGTGAAAAAGAAAAAAAAATCAGCTTGATTCCTAAGTTGTGAGGACTCCTGAGTCCTTACCCCATTGCCAGCTCTCTCAAATAAAGGGAGCAATTTCAAAATAAAGCACCATTTGTCACGGAAAAGGACAGCAGAAAAGGGCAACAGATTGTGGCCTAGTCACTTATAGCCCTAGCCCATTATGTTGTTGTTTCCTTCCTTGATTYTTGCCCGTCTGCCCTTTCACGAGATGCTAAGCACCAGCAATGGCAAAGATGAAGCAGGAGCAGTGGCAAGGGGTTGCAAACGATAYTGCCTTGTGTTAATAATGAAGATGCAAAAAGCTCTAGCCTTGCTTGCCAAATTTGCAGCCTGTAGGGGCTTCTGTGCGGTTTCATCTGCTTGCTCACAAGTTTACTTAAGGCTTTGCAAACCATCCAGCCTTTAGGCTTGACTCATTTTGCCCTTATCTCCATTTAGGCTGAGCATTAAAAAGTTGATGGTTTTAGTTTTCTGAAAATTAAGAGAAAGGTATGCTGTAATATCTGTGGCAGGGCTAGTTTTTACTGTCTCTATGGGAGATTTTTTCCTTATGTTGTCTTTTAAATGCATGAGTAAACTCTTTGGCCCTTTAATATAAAGAGGATTTGCACGGAGTGGGAAGCCTTCACTTGTGCTCTTTCTTGCCTTTCTTTTATTCAAGAGGAATAATAAAAAAAAAAACAAAACAAAACAAAAAAAACCTTAAAGATTAGAAAGAGTGGGAGACCATACTAAACTTGCACTACTAAAACAAAAGACAAATATTAGAGTTATCAAATCTGAATCTCCCTTTTTGCCCAGAATTGCCAGAGAAATAGCAGGCTGAAAACTGATTTCTGCCCTGCTTGGAGGAGAAAACTGGGTTTTCCTTAAAGTTCCCGTTGTTTAGGAACTCGGCTGTCACTCATCTCAATTAGTATTAGCAAGAGCAAAGAGCAAGCAGCTAACATGTCTGTCAGATGAAAAGCCATTCGCATTCAAAGGGAATTTCAAAGCCTTCTAGCTTGTAAAAGTGCTATCACATCAGTGTAAAGGATTCAGGTGAATCTAATACCAGAAGAGCAAGGTTGAGGAATGCTGTAAATGCCACCTCTTCCATCCTGTGGAGGCAGCCTGGTCCACACTTGAGGAATAACAAATCTGACCGATTCTTAAGGGATCCAGGGCAGAGCTCTGCAGTGAGGAGTCCTTTAGATTAAGCAATGGCAGCCTCAACCAGGCAGTAAAAATATCCTGCAGGTTTTCAAAGAGATTTGAAGAATTACAGTCTTTTTCCTTCATGGAAAAAATGATAGATACGTTTTGTTTTTACTTACTGACTCCAGCTAGAGTTGGATGGTTTTTCATAGCAGAATGCATCTTGACTGAAAAACTTAATAGACAATACTTCTTAATTCACCTTGCCCCTTATAAACATTGGGRTCTGTGAAGATCTTAGCTGTCCAGGGAATAAGTGTTTGTTCTGAAACCTCGTAAGAYGGGTATTGCTTTTTTTCCCCCCSCTCCTTGCATCTTTCTCGTCTTCACCCCAGTCTTCTCTTTTTCTAGGGACATTCACACGACCACAGGGAAAATCAAGCGAGCTGTGTTGCAGTTCACCCCAGCCAGCTGGACCTACGTTCGCTGGTTTGACCCCAAGTCTTCATTTCAAAGAGTGGCTGGAGTCTACCTTTTCATGATCATCTGGCAGGTAGCAAAGAAGTTCTGTGAAATCAAAGTTGCCATCAGCTCAGTTAGTTATTGGCAGTGTTGGGCTAGAAGATACTCTAAYGCAGTGTGTGTCTGTCATTGAAAGGCACAATTGAAGGATTTGATAATACAGTACTGGTCCGGCCTTTGTTTGCAGGAGCTATGTGATAGTTCAGGGGTGTAATTACAGAATCTGTGGAAAAAAAAAACCCAAATGTTAGAGGTTACTATACAGGTAATCAGATTATTCTTTGCAATTGATGGTTTTTGAAGCTGCTAGGCAGGTTTTTCTTCCATTGACTGTTGGATGGGTCACTGATACTCAGAATTCTGGCTGTAGTCCAGCAAGACTTCATAATGTATCCCAACCACTTGTGTGCAAATGCTGAAAGTCTTTGCTAAAAACGCTTTAGGTGTTTGTTTTCTTGTTTGTTTGTTTTTCAATATGCCGAATTTACTTTTTAAAGAGAGAATCAGAAGTGTTTGAACTTAATAGATGTAATCTCGTCTGCTCCTTATCAAATTTGCCTTAGTCATTCATATCTGATTTAGGATATATAAGTTTCAGATTAACATCTAGCCTCTTAACAGGCTTCTGGAAATAGACTAAATGCTTTTGTAGAGGTGTCTAGGGGAGAATTATTTGCTATATCGCTATATCCTTGGCTTGCCCTAGAGTAGCAATTTTAGGCTTTTGAAATCCCCAACCAGCAGAGTTGCAGTAGAGCATAAAAAGTTGTCCCCAGGTAGCTGCCATGTTAATCTTAGCATGTTTTGTAGTAATTCAGTAACAGTTGTGTTAATTGAACACAAACATTTGCAGCACAAAGTATAACCTGTTTAACTGCCTTTTTCTTTTCAGCTGACTGAGTTAAACACCTTCTTTTTGAAACATATCTTTGTATTCCAAGCAAGCCACCCTTTAAGCTGGGGGAGAATTCTCTTTATAGGAATTATCACAGCACCCACTGTAAGGTAATTTTGTTTCTATGGTGTTTTTTCCTTACATTTGGAGTATCTTGCCCAAGAAAGGCATATAGTTTGTAAATAAATACATCACATTTCAATATATTTTTGCTTTTGCTGCCTTTACCCATAGTAAAATAGCCMTGACTTCTCAATAAAGCTTTTTTTTCAGTAAATCACAGTACGTCAATACGGTAAAATTTGTATAAAAATCTATTTTATAGGGATTTTACAGAACATGTCTTTTTAGTCATATGTTTGTACTGCATTTACCTATGCTTTGACTTAGCTGAATATTTCATCCTTGAGGATTGCATGCAGAAGGGTCTGTGCTTATCAATCAGATGCTCRCAAATATCCTGATGAGGAAAAATAGAACTGTTGAGTTTTCTTACTTGAGCTATTTCCACTTGTCTGTAGGAATTACTAGCTTGTTGTAAGAAAAAGATAGAACATTACTGCATCCTGAGCAGCAGAACAGCATGCAGTGGATGATGAGGACAGAAGGGCCAGATGGACCGCTTAAGAAACCAGACTTGTTTATAGTTCTTGTTAAAACAGCCAATTGTCTTGTGCTTCTTTTTCCTTGTGGTTGATGAAAGCTAAATTGCACYAAAGTGTGTGTTATATTTTTGATGGTAAACTTCAGGACACAGTGAGTGAACCTTTTAGTGATGTGCCTATAGGTAGGCAGAATGAGCTAAGTTGTGAAATTGAAGGACCAAGGAAATTCCCATTYAAGAGCAAAGTGACATTACCTTGGACAATGCAGTAGTAGCCTTGTGTTGCTTTTTCCTAAAATTCAGCATCTTTCATAGCTCTTTATTCTCTTGAGTTATGAGCAATGATTTCACACTCTTTGCTGAATCACGTTAAGCATCCTAAAAGCTTCTGTACAAATAAACTTCTAAGTATTTTTATGGTATTTCCAATCCTGTAGAAATCTCTGTCCTTAAACTGATGTTTAATTGGATTAATAACATTCGCCTTCCGCATTATGTCAGTTGAAATCAAAAGAGGCTGAAAAAGGAACTTGGGTTTAACATCCTGGGATTTCCCTAACTATACTCAGAACATTTTCAAGTATAAAGAACAGACCAGAATAAGGCAGAAATTCTGCTCTGGTCTTTAGAGGATAAGGTGTTGATGGTTGGAGCACTTGCCCAGTGAATCTGGAAATCCAGATTCAGTTTCTTCCAAGATGCAAACCCACATATCTCAAGAAAATGCAGTTAAATTAAAAGACAAACTGCAAAAGTGAGAGATTCTCTAATTCTTTTGAAGCTGTTTTGCTTTCCCTAAAAAATTRAAGAATAGTGGAGAGGCGGTGGGAGAATACGTTGCTTTGTTAGCCTCCTGGTTTGGGTACCTTTATACTTCTTGCTCTCAGGACTGTTTTCTGTATTGCTTCATGCTATTCAATACACATGATAATCTGCCCTACTGGAATTGAAGTCACCTGGTAAATCTCCAGCATGATTGCCTGTGATTTCAACCTGCAGCATTTTATCTTCAGTACAGACACATTTGTCACTTGCACAGATTTTCCACATGTAAATATTTTGGGAACATCCATTAAAGATTTTTTTTTTTTCTTTTTGCAGGCAGTACTACGCCTACCTCACAGATACCCAGTGCAAGAGGGTGGGAACTCAGTGCTGGGTGTTTGGGTAAGTGCTCTTGTGTGCAAACCTCAAGCTCTTGCAAGTGTTAAGACTGTGTCCCATGCAGGAACAGGCTTTGCCTGAAACCAGTCCCTATCTCATGTTGTGTCTAAATATAAAGAATAGTTCAGGCAGATTTTTCTGCAAATTCAGAGGAAATGAAGATCCCAGATTTGGAGGTAAACATGGGAAGTGATGGTAGAGTAAGGAGAACACCAGAAGGAAGAACTGAAAACTGCTGGATAAAATTAGCCTTCCTCAGAAGCATTGTCCTTGCTGCCCATATTCTCAACCATATGAGAAGGGAAAAGCTTTTGCATGTCCCCCTTACCTGTTACTAGTTGTTATTTACTTGGCTGTCAAGGGGGTCACTGCTGCTCTTAGAGGATTCGCCATAAAAGACAGTGAAACCAACTCCAGTTCTGAACTACTGCTGCTCACAAGGAGAAAAACACCATGAACAGTGGTTGCTTTGGCTGCAGTCTCTTTTCAACATATCTCTCAGGGGAGATCTTTAAATGAAAAGATTGCAAGATTGCATCTAGTGAGAACTTCCTTAACTAAAATGTACTGTTCTCAAGACCAGAAGCATATGCTGCTGTAGCATCTTAAAAGCTTCTTGTAAATAAGTAATAAGTCAAATATAACGTATGTCTGGAAAGCTTACAGGTGGGCAAATATAGATGGCAAATCAAATGATAATAAACTCTGTGTGTATAAGCACACTTTTCAAGAATCTCATTTCTGATAGAAATGATTTTTAAATTAAAACAACTATTTCATTTTGATTTTCAAGTTTAGTGTATTTCTCATCTCCAGAATCGTCTGAACCATTTTGGTGTTTAACAGAAGAAGCTATTACTGTCTTGAATTAGAATAGCTTTTCAATGAGCCATGAAATCCTTCAATCTAATTAAAAGATAGTGCTTCAGCAAACTGTCTTTCATCTTTACTGTTAGTCTCAGGGTTGTCACCATGTTTGAGGAGCAGAGTTAGAGCAGGAAGGTTTATTTCCAGGTACACGACCATACCTTGAACAGCACACCCCTTTCTCAGCAGTTAATTGAGATGAGAGCAGAGCACGCTGCACTGCAACTCAAGGGATTTCTACCCTTGTTTTAAATGTAACCTGGAGAACATGGCATGTGGCTCCTTGGATTTGACTGGACTTAAACATTCACCTCTTTCACTGACATATCACTTTCTGGGATGGATCTATTACTGTCTTCTGGCTATTATTTGACTTCTTGCTGTGAAGAAGGAACCACCGTGATCCTTGTTACAAAGGTCTCACTAAACACCTTAGATGTTCAAACACRTTAGATAAAAGATATTTAAATTTCTCTTAATGATTGCATAAAGGAGCTGTAGTAGAATATTGGTTTTCAGTGTGATCTGATGGTGGGAAGTGAGCCTGGAAAAGTAATTTCCTTAATACTGCTTGATTCTATAATCTGCCAGGAAGAAAACAGAGCTAAACTAGGAGTTCCAGCTGTTTATTGGAATAAATGGTGCTCTTCCAATGATTTAATTACCCTGGATAATTAATCTTTGAAACTATTTAAAGCAAGTATATAGAATATTATTTCCCCAAACACCACAGCTAARAAAAACTTATTTAAACTGTGAAACACTTAAAGGCACATACTGCATCTTTAACAACCTAACCATGGGAGGAATTAAAACCAAAGCTTTGTGTTAATACTAAGCTGTAGACTCTGCAGCTTCAATATACACTGTAATGTAACTCTTAACAAAGGGACAATAAATGACTTRAGGTGTAAATATGGCCAGTGCCACAGGTCTGCTGGAGACTGCACTRTTTTCATTAAGACAAAGTCTGTCACAACGGGTTACCTGTAAAGATTTTAGAAGACCTTTTCTGTTGAATAAAAAGTTAGTGTGTTTATTAATGTGAAGATTTTCATCAGCCATCAGTAGAACACTAACAGCTTTAACTATTAGCATTTTTCTGTCTTAATTTTATTTACCTCTCATTTTGAACAATGAAAAGCACAAGTTTTTGATAAAAAAAAAAATAGTAGGAAGACTATATAAACACATTACAAACAGCTGCATACATATATTTTTGAGATACTCTGTTGGAAGTAGCTTATTGTTTTGCTTATAGCTTCAAGTACATCATACCCATATATATATTTGTTTCCTGGTTGTGGTCTTTTTGTTCCTGCTGTTGTGCTTCAATTTAATAGCTGATTTCTCCTCAGCTAAGTCAGCAAAAATAACATAAAACCAAGAAAGAAAAATAAACGGTGACCCTACAGAGTACTGCAGCTGGCAAGTCTTAACTGATATGCATCTCAGTAACTTGTAAGGTGTTACTTTAGCAATTTTAAGGTGACTTTCCCTGGTCCCATCTGGATTTCTTTGCAGTGCTGTGTTTTTGATTTGTGATATGAAAGGGTTTTCATGAGGGAGACGTCAGAGAAGCAGCACATGAAAGAATAATTTGGAATAAATTCTGGAAAGCTTCACAGCACAGATAGGTGGCTCTGAATGCCAGCCTTGGCAATTACAAGCTTTAACAAGTATTAGGAGGAGTTTCACTGTGAGAGCATACCACATGCATAATTTCTAAAAACAACAATAAAAAAAGGTGTGTCCCATAGCTTTTGCCTTAGATGTAAAGCTGGAGGAGGCCTCCGAAGTTGTCTTTCATTGCATGTAGGGCCATCTGCCTTGGGCACTTCAGAGCCACCAAGGGCTCAGATTACCAGGCCAGCCTTGTCAAATAATTCCAGGTCTCTGCTCAGCAAGGAAGGGTTTCCTTAGCAGACTGCAAGGGGGCACTTTGGAGAATCGACTGGTCCCCCAGCAGGAAACTTGCACTGAGCTCCTGGCAAGGGCACCCACCTGGGCAGTGCACGTGGGTGCCCTCACGCAGGACGTGAAGGCAGCAAAGCTGGAGCTAATTCACTTCAGATTTGCTTCAGCATGAGAAGAGTCAGTGTCCTGCACTTTTGCTGCCAGGAAGCAGGTAATTAGCAGTAAGTAATATTGACTAGGGTTTATGTTAAAAAGATGTAATTTTAAATCCAGGGCCTGCACAAACTGGATGTATATGCATGGCAGGACGGAAGGTTTGGATTCGTAGCCCATCATTGCACGTGAAGGTGTGGGCACATTTCTCCGTGTCTTTGGGCCTGAAAAGATGTAAGTATCTGGTGGTATCAGAGAGGTATCTCTGATATCAACAGATATATTTATCTGGTGATRCCAAGGAGGTGGAGATGCTTGTTTGTGTTTTTTATAATGCCTCATAGGAAAGTAACCACTGCAATTTTCCTCTCAAATTTCCCCACAAATTGTTCTTGTAGTGTCAGCCTGGGTTTTACATGTAAACCGGATCACACGTGCAAGTTCAGAGATTTGGAATGCCATTTTGCACCTCTTTTCTTTAAAAATTGTATCAAAAGTGACCAGAGTAGCTAGTGGCCAAAGGCCTATGTAGACCTGTTGTAAATAAAGTTGGTTATGTCTGACAGCAGTGTTCAAATTTTCTTAGTTGACCCAACAGGGAGCCAGTTGGTTGCTGAGCATGGAAGTGAGACCTGGATTTTGCGTGGGCTGAAGCCCAGGAGCAGGTGGAAGCAGGAAGCCTTGGCTGCTGCGCGTGCTCCGGCCTGGGCCCTGCACAAACAGAGGCCCTTAGGCCTGTGAACTGCCCGGTGATCACTTCCTACATGCTGCTTATGCTGAAGTATAACACAAAAACATAAATTTCCCAAAGTATTTTACTTCATGCTTCATTAGAGAATAACACTTATTTAGAGCTGGCAGGAATTGGGCTTGTACACGTGTGCGTTGCATCTCTGGTGTTTGTAACCTTTCTTTTTGTTTCCCCCTCCTTCCTTTGCCCACAGGGTTATTGCCTTCCTTGAAGCCATTGTGTGCATAAAGTTTGGACAAGATCTTTTTTCCAAAACACAAATACTCTATGTTGTGTTTTGGCTTCTTTGTGTGGTGAGTGAGATTTTTTCATGTGAAACATAAGGCTCAGCAAAAGCGTTGAAAGCAGCTTCTAAATAACTTCCTCCATGTGAGGGACAGCAGGGGGACAGCAGGGGACCGATGTGGGGGAGTGCTGGTAAAGACGCACGCCCTAGAAAAAGAACTGGGAGATCATTGAAAACATATTTTGAAGTGACTAGAATAGCTTTTCTTATGTCCTTAYGTAGCCGAGTTTCCTGGTGCTTTGGAAGGGAGCAGGGAAACAAAAACTAGAGCTTTTTTTTTTTTCTTTATGAGCGAAAATACCGGTTCAGCTGAGGATAAGTTTGGAGAGGCTTCCAGTAACTCCTCTTCCTTTCGAGTGTGTGCTAATGAGAAGCATTGATAAGTGATGTACGTTGTCTTGCACTCCTGTCTTAAAATTGCATAAAACAAACTTGTTTTAGCAGGCAGATCGTTCCTGCTCAGCCCGCAGCTTTCTGTACTTCAGTGTGATAGCTGCAAATGTAGCATGAAATGCCCTTTTCCTAACAGTAAATGTGTGTCTGTCTTGCCAGACTTGTAACTGATTCCAAAGACGTTTTTAATTGTCAGTGAAAAATAAGGCATTTTTAATGGGTTGAGAAATACCTGTTTCTCCCTTCTAACTGGGAAGACAGTTTAAACAGGTGATAGGAAATCAGAATGAACTGTTCCATTACTTAGTATTATGTTTTTATTCCTAAAACTTAAGAGGAGAAGAAGAACTGAGTTATTACTTCTCAGATCAGAGCCGCACTAAGCCGAGCATCTCCTTCAGCCTCTGAAGCATGGGGCAGGGGAAGGACAAGAGCCTGATGTTCATGTTGGCATACCTGCTTGGCAAGTGCCTCTGTAGGATGATGGGTACCCTGTGAGGAGTGRAGGGAAGTCGTGCTGACCTGTGAGTGGTTTGTAGGCACCTACCTTCCTGTTGGGAATTGGTCTGCAATGCACCAAGGTGGCACCGTGTTTACGTGCCYTGAGCAGGAATCTCATCCTGGTGAAGGTGCTGGCAGAAACAGAGCTTGGAAGGCTCCAAATGCTTAAACTTAAATGACCTTGAACCATCAAAGAAWTTGTAAAAAAATAAAAAATAAAATAAAAAAACAGGCTTTAATAATTTTTCTTTTCCCTTGTTTAGGCCTTTACAACTTTCCTGTGTTTATATGGCATGGTTTGGTATGCGGAATACTATGGCCACCGAGAAAAGGTATTTTACGAGGGAGCCTGTTTCTGTTTTATACTGTAGCTTAAAAAAAAGCTTCTACATATATAAAAATACAAAGCTTCTACATATATAAATTCTTTACCAAAGCTATCGTACATGGAGAGAGGGGGATGGTCCCAGAGTCCAATTGAAGTCAGTAGAACGAACTCTGAATTCAGCAGCTGTTGGACAGATCCCAAATTACATTGTGGCTTCTAGAGACTGTCCTCTCGGTTACTCAAAATGGGGCTGCAATTTTAGCAGAGCATGCAGGGATGAATGGGTAGCTAAGGTCCCCATTGTATAGGAAGAATATTAAAAATACTTGGTTACACAACAGATCACACAACAAATGATGTGTTCTTATTGTAGCATCAATGTTTTACCTCTTAACAAGGAAGGAAAGAGATTGAAGTATTGGCTGAATCTTTTGTTAGGACTTCTGCCATCGTTTAAGTTTACCAGTCTAAGAGCAAACCTTATCTGCACAGGAGAAGCACTGACCACAGCGACCAGCATCCTAAAGACGTGTCCCTCTTGGTTTTTGCAGACCTTGTCAGAAAGTGAAGACAGCCCGTACAGTCCAGACGCTTCCTGGCTTCATTCTAAATTCAGTAAAGGTATTGGCACCTTCACATGTACATTCTCAAAGTGGTACTACTGGAATTACTGGTCAGCACTAGGAAATGAGGCTTGAGAAACTTACCTTGGAAACAATTTGTTTTACTTAAGAAATCTCTGCAGCAGCTACACAGATAAATCATCTATAAAATTATCTGTTTTTACTGCCTTTTTTTCTTCTGACTCTTCAAAATGTATTTATTTCTTAACGAAGGAAGTTTGTTTTCTGCAGCTATTCCAGACCATTCTTTCAGAGTGAAGGGTTTACACATTTCGTAACTGTTCTGAACAAGTTCTCTCCCTGAATAATGTGTGTTTGTTTTTAAGAGGACATTTAAATGTGTGCTTTTATTCCTGCCTACTAAAGAACAGTTAAGAATGTTCCCTGAAACTTCTGTTCTTACTGACACTCACCTAGCCAGTGCAGTGCTGCTGATCCCAAACAGCTTCCTCTGTCCTGAACCACAGCAGCACCCTTCTCTGATGTCTTTGCCTTGCTCTGGAGATTGGTTAAGTTACTTGTCTCCTCCTTTAGAGCTTCAGGATGGATTTGCCTGTTGGAAGAAGACAACAAACTACCTCTGTCMGAGCTTATACTCCAAGCATATTCGTAGTCTTTAGAAGTATTTCCAATTTATTGCATACTTGAATATAACAGTGCTTGAATTGCATACATCTAGACAGCAGAGTACTTTGTATTTTGTATGTGAATTTTCKAGATGTTGGTGTTAATTTATTCTCAGTTTAGTAAGTTGGTAGATTTTTATGTTTTGGTAAAATACGCTTTCATTTGATTTTTTTTTTTTTTCAATTTGATATGTCAAGCAAATCTGGCCAAGGAAAGCTGTTCCTTGATTTTATTTATTTATTACAAAATTTAGCTTTTTTTCATGTTTTGCTTTTGAACTCTCTGTTCATCTTTTTTGATCACCTGTTTTGTTCAATCTCCCCTTTTCTCTCTTTGCTCTACCGGAATTAAATGAAGGATACAATATGAAAAACTGGAAACAAGAGATGTGCTCGTACAAGAAACTCCAGCATTTCTGTTGAGAGAACACTCACTTTCAGAGTTGTTACTTTCTGATAGTATTACTTGCCAGGAATAAGTTTGGAGATTTATGTTATTCATGACACTTAAAGGATGTTTCCCCATTATATTCTGCTCTATCAAACTTCCAATATTTTCTGGAAGAAAAAAAATTTCACAGAAGTTTTTAAGAACTGCCTTTTTTATTAGACCACTAGATGGAGTACAAGTATCAACCAGTCCTTATTAGCCTGAGATAATTCCTGCTGTAAGCTCACAAAACCCTTACAGTCTTTAGATCAATAGCTTGGGAATGTCCAATAAATGTATGTCAAAAAACTATTTATTTCTCAGCAGGTGCTGACAATAGCCCACCAAAAGCTGCAGCCAATAACGAAAGCCATTCGTCTAGAAGAAGGAACCGTCACTCCAAATCAAAAGTAACCAATGGAATTGGGAAGAAATAAGAATAATCTCGGAAGATGTCCTGCAGTGTGACCAGAGATGACAGAGGAAATTGGACCTGACTCTGAGTTTCTGAGTGGGAGATTGATTTTAAATTTAAAATTTAGAAAAAGAGCTGTGGAAGAAAGCAACCAGCTTTTTAGCAACGCACAGGGCCTCGTGTCTTTGGAGACGGAGCCACCAATGTATTGCAAATCACTGCCTGCTGTCATGTGCCATTCACTGAATTAAATCTAATTTCTTCAGCATGTGGCACCTAAAGCTACTGAAGAATATGCTGGAAAGAAAAATAGTTTTGTTAGAGCAGGTGCACTCTGTTTTATGTCCAGGTTTTGCAAGTGAGGTTTTAATATCTTAGCTGAGGACATCAACACGAAGGTTAGTAAGCTGATAAGCAGCTGGCATGGTTGGTTGGATTTTTTTATGTTGCTGCAGTTTTGTTTAGTTGTTATCTAGAAAAGTACACAATCTTTTGAGTAAAAGCACCTCTGCCCTTCTTTATCAGTCTGACAACTAAACTTTTCCATTCAACAGTTAGTCCATAAAAATTCCATGCTTGTATCCAGCTGCTCACTTCTATTGAAATGCTCTTTCAACCTGGTGACAAGGTTTTACCAGCTATGAAATGGGTCCATATTTCTTTCAAAGGATGCTGTTTGCCCTTCATATAGGATTCTTCTTCCCTTCTGCTGGATTGTTAAATATTCAGTTCTTTTAAGTTTTTTTTTTTAATATCTTTATGAAAATCTGTTGGAAAGTAGAGAGCTGCACCTCCTGCCCTCAGGGACAGATGTTGTGTCATTTAGTGGGTCTTCTTTTTGTACAGAGGCATGGATTGCATCTTGAAGTGCACGTTACCACGTGTGTCCTTCTATCAGCTACACTGCATTTTGTACAAGRGTCCTCTCCACTTTCCTTTGATTTGCCTCTGCCTCAGCTGTAACCAAGAAATCCCAAGGCCTTTGATTTTTAGAAACTGCTTTGAAGGCTCTGATGCCCTCTTAAGCCTGATGAGGAGCAGTTTTTCACTGAATTTAAGTTTCCTACAACTCATATAAACAAATCTGTGCAGACTTGTGCTCTTCAGTGTCTGAAAGATAGCTTGATACTACTGCCATATCCCATGTGATTTCAGTATTTCCTAACATGCAATCAGGTAACTGACAGTGAAGTGACTCCCTTGTGTAGTTTTTTCTGGAGACAGTGCTAATTAGCACTAAAGTGGCTAATTGTCCAGCAGTGAATGTAGTGATTAAGCCAGAGGTAAATGTGCAAGAGCAATCAGTTTTTATATTAAGTTATCAAAATCCTTTTGTGCCAACTAGATTTTGGGGATTCATGGGGTTCAGAGAGGTGGGTAGATTAAGCATGGATAAATGATATCCATTAGTCAATTGTTTTCAGAATAAACTGGCATTTCCTTTTTCTATGAATAATGTTACTGTGATTTGCCATAGAGTATATACTAAAAATAATGCAGCAGAGACTTTATACAAGTGTATAATACTGTAAATAGAAAAAACGGAGCCCAYGTAATCCATAAAATTTGTATGTGCCAGGATTATCAACATTTTCAATGCACTTACTGTATTGCTACTGAACTATGTTTCCCATCTCCCTTTTCAGTCGAACCCAATGTGTACAACGTCAGAACTAACTTATAGCTGCTATAGCATCGTTGCTAAAGTGACATTAAATGTTACATGAGAAAAATGATAGGAACATTTTCACTTTCCTACAAGTACTCTGCTTTCATCCACATTAGCAATCCCTTTGTATTGTCCCCATTTGTGGTGTGCTGTGTATTGACGAATGTATTTGTAGCTTTCTTTGGATATGCAGCCTTGTTAATTTTTTAATTGTCTTGGTTAATACTTCAGTCTGTGTAAGACTGAAGAACGACATTGTAAATTTTCTATTGACTCAATACCAAAGCAAGAGGTTGGAAGTTCAAAGATATTTTAAGGATATTTTAAGTACCTTTTTTTTGAAAAAAAGGTGAGAGCCTGTTTTGTACTGCAGAGTATATATGCACCAGTTGTGTATACAGCACATACCTGTGCAAGCAGGTGCTGAAGTGCGGTGTCTCTTTGCAAGCACACGTTTTGTGAATGCAGAACTAGTGCTCACACTGCTGCATCGCACCCGAAGAATATTAAAAAGGCAAATATGAAGTGTCAGCTTGCTGGAAGTTGACTCCTGTGTGCTACCACAACAGCAGAGGCCTTGAAGAAATGTTGTTTGACAACACTTTTCCCATGCTGTTTTATTTTGTACTTTTATTTTACTACTTTTAAAGGAGGGGAGGGAGCTGGGGAGAGGGAAAACCAAGTAAATTTCTCAAGTGCTTCTTGGAAAATGGTACTTTGTGTCCTCTGTCAGCAGTTCTGGTTGGAATTCACATGTGTTCACACAAGTCCTCTGCTCACTGACAGCTGCGGTTTCTGTCCCATCTTTGGAAGTGAACTTTGCAGAAGCAAACGGGGGAAAGGTGCTCTTGATCACTGCTGTGAATCTCAAGTGATCCCAATTTTATCGTCTCCTGCACTATTGCTGAATTTTGTGTGTGTGCAACACCTAAAATGACAAATCACAGAGCTGTTTAGCAACTAGCACCCATGTATGAAGTCTGCTGCTTGAACAGTATTTTGTAGTAGTCAAGGATGCACTGTCCTCTTTTTAACTGCTTGTTCTGTCTCGTTCTCTTCTCCTTACTTTCCTGCTTCTGATGTCTTTTCTGTGACTCTGTCCTCTCGTGATCTCCCCCTCTGCTGTTGAGATACCTGAATTTGCCCTCCAGAGACTGTCCATCGGGAATGGCAGTCRTTGAAGGGAGGCTCATTCAAGGCAGCATGGCATAAGCAGAGGATAGTGGCAAGAAGTTGTGGAGTAAATAAAAATGGAGAATTATAAGATGCAAGTATAAAAAGCTAGCCATGAATACTGGATTCCAGTATTAAAGTTACTGTATAGAACATATAYAATATCCAAAATATTTGGAGTTTGATACAGCAACTGCTTTTATTACTGTGTTGTGAAGATAGTCATTGGAGGATCCAGCAATCAAAACCTTGCTTTTTTACCATGTTATCACAAGAGGACACAGGTGTAACCATGTATTTAATAGTTTTGGATAGAGCTGCTCTGTATTGATTGCAAACTATTGTATTTCGCAGTAACTCAGTAAATCAACCCCTGTCACCGGCACGTGTGTTTGTCTCTACCTGCCAGGCACAGGCCACAATTACAKGCTACCTCTAGATATTTTTACATTTTATTCTGCCTTTTGCTCACTGACTAATTTAGTGGTTTCTTACCAACATATAGTGCACTRAAGTGTTGCTGTAATTTGTTATTTTTAATGCAGCAGATCTGAAAATCTGAACAYTTAGAATAATCCCTCTGCTTCATTTCAGGATTTTGTTGTGCAGGATAACTGCCGTTTCTTTTTGTATTTTACTGCTGAATGGGAGAACTGAGTTGCAAGATGGTCTCCTGACAGATTCTTTAAGAGAAATGAGACCTCATGTGTGGGAATAGTAAACCAGCTTATTAGCAAGSAGCAAACCTTAACTTGGTCAAGTTTTACCTAGCACCTTCTCTGCCTGCCTTGGCTCTTTTCACACTTCTCAATATACTTGGGTCCAGAAAGGCTTATCAGAAAAAGCATGAAGATAGTTAGGTGGTTTCCCGTCTTAAACTAGCTCTTCATATTTTAAATTTCWTATTTAAACAGTAAATCTTGAAGATTTACCATCCTGAAGAGCAGATGCTGTTTTTCTGCAGTGTTTGCAGTATGCTACAGTGTTGTATTTGCCCAGTGTATTTATTAAGGACAGCTGCTGAGCAGAGTTTACTGCAGTTTCCCTCAACCTCAGGTAAGTAAAATCTCTTTCATCTTTATACTCATAGTTATTTCACATGACTCCGAGGACTGATTTGGGATCAAATTTTATTTCCATCTCCTTCCTAACTCTTAAGGATTATMTCTTAATGTTTCTACCACTTCCCAGGAATAGACTGGGACAGGTCTCATGCTTGGGCATTTCTTGTCTCACAGGGGAGCAATCCTGCTGCCCTCCACAGTCTGAATTACATTTTGGTAAGACCAAAAGAAGCTCTGCTTCTATTCAGGGAAAAAAAAAAGTCTGGGAAAGAATGTAAACTGTAAACATAGAATTCCTATTATCAGCAAAAATGTAAGTGCCAGACTATACTAAGCATACACATGGGTTTAATTTTCATAGTTTTCATGGGCCTCGGCTTGTAGATGAACATGAAATAAATGGATTGCTTATTTAATGCCTTTTTTTTTTGAGTAGGGGAATTTACAGCAGCAGCATTCCTATGGACCTGATCCAAAGCATGTACTGCAGCTATTGTACCCGCCATTCCATATCTCAGTAGTTCTTGCTGGGGGGGAAAAAAAAAAAAGCATGAAATATTGCATGTATGTATGTGTGTGGGCACATATATCTCTAGCAAATCAACTTTCTCATGAAAATGCTCGGTGTACGAGTCTGTGACGGTGACTGCTGCGTGCGTGTGACCGTGGCGAGTAGACAACACGTGTAGGTCCACGCGCGGCGCGTGGGGCAGCAGCTCTGGGACATGGGTCTCGGCGTAGCCTCTAGGTGCTGCTCTAATACAGACCCAGCAAACGTGGCCCGGCTTTCCCAGGGTTGCTCCTAATTCGGGGCTAGCCTTAGCCGCCTTGGCTCGATCTTCAAGGCTTCSTAACCCCTGCCGACCTCAATTACGTGTGCCACACACACAGCCCTGCAAAATGCCCCTGTTGTCAGACTTGCTCAGAACAACCAAAGGAAAACAAAATCAAATGAGTAGCTTTGAGGAGGCTTTTAATTAAAATGCTAAATGATAGCCCTRGACTTGGAAAGTTAGAGCAAAACTTCTATTTTGGTTTCTACCAAACGCACACACTGCTGTTTTGTTGTCCAAGTCCCTTCCCCTGTTGGAAGGAGGCACGGATCTGTCCCGAAGCTCTCCGGGRGGCAGCTGGGTCCTGCAGAGCTGTGTTCCTGGTACCGCTGTCCCTGTGTGGGCATCCAGGTGGGACAGGGCTAAGCTGGCCTGGTTTACAGGGTCAAGGTGGTTTGGTTTTGCGTCTAGGATTCTGCCAGACCTGTACTGCGGGCTCTCGTAGGGAGCCAAGTTTCTGGCTGTAGTAACAAAGCCAGGACTTTGTCCGCTTGTTCAGATGAGCTTCTTCCTCATCCCCTCCGTCCTCTTCAGGCTACTGAAGCCATTGGGGGCAATTGTTGTTGCTGTCTTACCCTGTTCAGAATTTGGGAAGTGATCAGTAAGTTTCTGTATGTCGGATTTATACCGTCTGCAAAGATTTCCCATTTTTTCCATTAAAAGCAAATAGGTGCTGARTATTTTTTGAAGGCTTTGAAAATCCTTTTAGCCACAGCAACCTCAAGGAGCACCTGCCTTTTAACAATTACTGTGGCTTCTRTCTGTTAACACTGACATGTTGTTTGTGGTTGGCTGAGAGAAAAAATCGCAGCCCTCATTTCTTGCAGGAGGAAGCAACGGGCCTTTGCTCTTCTGAACTTTATTCTGGAAGGGGTCACCACCGATAGACATCTATGATAGTTTTGCTCTAGCCTCATTCAGTACTTGCCCTCTGAAAGCTATCAATGGAGAGGAAAAAGAATACAGTAAAAAATACCACTAAAGGAAATATATTTCCCTCAGTCAGATATGTGATCTGGAAGAAAATTAGGAGCTTTTATTATGTTAGCTGAGGCGTTTTCTTTTCCCCTCTTTATGTGCTGTAAGAACAGCAGCTGACACAAAATCACAGAAGGGTTAAAATTGGAGGGACCTCTGGAGATCATCTAGTCCAACRTCCCTGCTGAAGCAGGGTCACCTAGCACACGTTTCCAAGGATTTTGTGCAGGCAGCTTTTGAATATCTCCAGGGAAGAGGACTCCATAACCTCTCTGGGCAACCTGGGCAGGTCCTCAGTCATGCTCACAGTAAAGAAGATTTTTCTCACGTTCATTTGGAACATCTTGTGTTTTGGTTTGTGGCCATTATGATTGCTGGACCTCACTGAAAAAGAATCTGGCTCCAAAGCCTCCCTTCAGATACTAATATGCACTGATCAGGTCCCCGCCTCAGCCTTCGCTCCTCCAGGCTGAACAGACCCAGATCTCTCAGCCTTTCCTTATACAAAGAGATGCTCCACCCCCCAATCATCTTAGGAGCCCTGATGCTTTWAATATTATAAAATGACACTTTAAGTATTATTTCTACCCGTCAGCTGGCTTTAACATGTTTAGATCACAAAGCCAACTCAGATCAACACATTCCATTTGACCACATTTAAAGTGCACTTAAATTAGCAGGATGGAGACTGGGAGGAAAAAAAAAAACATGTCTTAGAGCTGAATGGTAATTTCCTGGTGAYAGGTTCTCTAAACATCATAAAATACCTCTCAGACTGAAGTGTCCAATATCTGCGTTCCTCTTGTTGACTGCATGTTTAGCCAGCGTGTGTCTTTCATGCCTGTTGCTTATCACAGTCACAGCAGCACAAGTGCCAATAATGATGTTACAGGCTGTAGTTTCCTTACATCATTTCAGTGTCAAAGGAGTTTATTTGAAACAATGCATAGGACATGGCAGTCTTGATGGAGTCTGCGATCAGTAAACTCGGATCAGTAAACTCAGATTAGAGATCTTTGGACAAAGGGCGAGTGGCATGTCTGCATTTCCTCAGGAAGCTGAAGATAAAGACACGAGTAGGATCCCAGACCTTCAATTCCCATGCTGGAACCACAAAATTATCATGGGAATTGCTAAAARAAAAAAGCTTCTGTAGTAAATCCAAGAATGTTATCCATGTCTCTTAATCCCTAAAATGAAAACATACTGTATTACATAAAAAGGAAACAGGAGCAAGGTGGTACTCTGTTTATATACCATGGACTTTGCTGAATTTTGCCAGGTTTTCTCAATGTCGCTACCTTTTCCAATGAGCTTTCATGACTGATAACCTGGCTCGTATTTTAAAATTAGAATTTACTAAAGGCAAGTAACTGTGCAAGGGCAAATGGGAGAGCTTCAGACTCCAGGTTTTAGTTAGAACTTGGCTGTCTGTCACTCGGCTGCTCTGTGACTTGCACTTCTGCCGTGTAAAAGCAAGTTAAAAGCACTAGTGCTTCTGAGCAAGCTGCTCTGTGCTTCTCTCATTACAACTTCTAGAGCCTGATACATTGACTTTCCTTAATTCCAAGCAATCAAATAGGCAGCAGTTTGTGTTCTTCACAGTCCACCAATTCCGAGGGATAGCAGCTGGATCAAGACACAGGAGGAGTTATATCCAGAGTTTGGGAGCAGGATTTTTGTGATGTTTTTGAATCAGAACCTATTCTGTAGGGAACTCTTAGCCCTTTAGAAGACTAATTCCCATTGTTAGCTCCTTCATACATGAAAAACAATATTTGGAAATATTTTAAAATAGACAACACAAAAACTGTGTCTTGTTCTCATTGGTTCCCTGMTGTTTCTTCTCCCTCCACCGGGCCAGGTACTCTGTTGAGATTTTCTTCTGCCTTGAGGTGAGAGATTATTTCAGACCTTTTGCATCTATCAGGACTTTATATTTTTCATAAAGCCAGAATGACTTTTGTTTCTCAGCTTGTTTCCTTCCTGCAGTTTCCTTACAGAAGGCCACCATACCCATTATCTTCTTGCTTATTTGACCATTGGACTTAAATCTTAG